TCTTCGGGAGGGATCATGAGCAAGAGAAGGACAGGGACACGAGTTGGAACTTGCTTTTATACAAGAAAACTGCGAGATTTTTCTCAAAAAATTTCTCTGCCACGCTTGTTTCCTGGTACCGTTATCTCCAGCATTGTTTACTGGGCGAACCCCGCCCAGCTCTAGCAGCTCCCACTTCGTCATTCTTCCACTAAGCGCTAACGGTCCTAGAACTGCAAATTTACCTGTTTGAACATCAAGCCATTACTACTGAAATGCCTGGAGGAATCTGAATATAATGAAAAACAGCCCTGCGTTTGACTTTTCATCCACCTTCAGCCTGATCAAAGAACTTCAATTACGATGAAATAAGAAGTTTAGAACAGAAGTGGGCGTTGAAAGCTGATTTCCTTCCTTTCCCAGACGCCTAGTCAACATTGCCGCCCACATTTACGAGATGGGAGGGAGATGGCGTTCTTATCAGCGAACATTTCTAAATTGTTGAGGGAGCAAAAATGGTTTTCTCGAGGATTGTTCTTGAAGCTAGACAAGAGGTTTCGAGCCCACATTATGAAGCACAGCATAGTTCTGGTCTTCGATTTCCTAAATTTTATCATAGGCTTTTACCAATCTAATAGACATAATAAAGGGTTTCTGGATTGGTTAGGAAAGGCTCAAGGACGAATTATTCGGGCCTAAGGACCAGAAAATGATAATATGAGTATTGCCGCATTCAGAATACGCCACGGATTATCCTTCAATCAGAAATTCAGAGAGTATCGAGAACATTCCAAGGAATGAAGTGTCTTACGGGAACGTGTTCATCTACCCAAACGGCATATCGCAAGGGGAAGATTGGAACTCTCATTGAAAGATTACTGTAAATACCGTGAAACCACTGTAGCTTCCTGCAGGAATTCGTGTAGAAATACCGCCACCCCGCCACCCTAAAATGACCGTATTTCCTTATGCCTCTCGAGTCATTGTGTGCTTCACGCTTCTTTGAAATCAGCTGATGCTTCACTAAAACAACGAAGGAAAATAATTCAGGAGTTACGGCATTTCAGAAAGGAAATTTAGGAGAAAGGGCGTGATTAACTCAAATCGGATCCAATTAACAAGCCTTTCAAGCAGTGCTACTACTACAGCTGCTGGAAAGCTTTGATCGGATAAAACAAGCGGTTTGTGTGTATCACATGATCGTCTGTAGTGCACAAAGCTATCAATCCCCGTATAAGCAAAGGTTACGTTCCTATCGTCCTGTCGTCCACCAGGGCCTTCAATAAGAATTTCAAAGCTGGTACCTTAAACTTCACATATGATCTGTATAGGTACTTTATCTATAGGTGAAAAAAGCTGCGACATTACCAGGCGAGTGATTTTTGAGCTTCTCCGTATTAATATTACCGTCAAATAGCTGTAAACTCGTAAGGTTGTAATGCCACAGGAAATGAGTTCGTTCGTGTGCTACCACAGTTCATCAGGGATGCATGCAAAGATAGCCCTGAATGAGAAATAATGCGATGAATGCATTCCGTGCACTGGCTTCGGATGCACTTGCCCGTTACTTGCATGGGATGGTCACGAGAAACCTCAACTTGAACAACAACCAGCTCTCACGGGAATGAGATGACCTAGCAAGAACATTGGTACATATCCGAGTCCAAGTAGGAGCGATAAGAGAGAAGGCCTGCAGTTCACGATAAAAATTCTTTGTGAGATCCCTCTCTAGAGTGAGTTTAGGCCTCCAAGTATAGCACGGGGACACTAGCGGGTCGGAAAACGACTTTGGTAAGACATTATAAAAGGACCAAAACAGGCTTTGCCGACGTACACACCCAAAAGTGGCCGTGTTATGACGGCCTTGTTAAGGCTGCACGATTCACAGTGAGTTATAACGCCGAGAAATAGTGCGTCTAGTGAGAGACACCCAGACGGCTACAGACATGATCTCGTAAACCCCTTTTCTTACACTATTTTGAAGATATTTTTTCTTTGGATCCGCCGTTTCGCGCTTTCTTCGCCTTTTCTGCACTGTTTCCCACCACAGCTTCTATTATTCCATTCAATCTGGATTGCTCAGAATTATAGGGAACTGTGTCTTAAATAATTTCCCCCAGACTGGATTCCGGTTCTGTATACAGCGACAAGCAGTATTCCGCCTGGTGCAGTTTTCACAGATTTCGTAATATTTTTTCCACCTGTCTAGTAATGTTTTTGCATAGTCTTACGACGAGTCATACAAAAAGAGCGATGAATAGCCAGTGACTAATTTGCATGACAAGCAAGTGGGAAAAATACACCATCGCTGATGGGAATCGGTTTTTGAATATGCCCTTTCGGCATCAACCGTGAGGATGATAGTTCAAAACCAAGAGAATCAAGTAAAAGAGCCTATGTTAATTTTGAAGGTCCATCCATCAGTAGGCCTGCGCACGTGAATGGATTAAGTCGATATTTTATCACGATGCATAGTTAGTACCGGTGGTTCGTGATTGCAAGCCGTTCTGCCAAACCGAGGATAGGCCAACGTGAAGAGGTGGAGCGGGCGGAATGCCAAAACCAGGACACGGCACATTCAGGTAGTCCTCACTCCTTGGAGTACTTATTTGGGCACCTCGGCAGCGATCGTTGGGCATCATATTTCTTCTGGACAGAATGCTTTTCTTTATTTATATCGACTTCTTAAATTTCTACGTGAATTCGCAAGAACTCGACCGTTTATTGCGCTAGAACTTACATCCTACAGCAAGCGGTCACATCTTAATGGATTAATCCTTGTGCGCGATAAAGCTCTTGCAGCGTGGCCACCACTACGACATCCCTGACCATACCAGTGGAAGCAAAGGTCAACAAAGGGAAGTAACCATGAGAAAGCGAAAGTAGTCAGAAACATAGCGATCAAACGACCGTAACAGCGCTAATCATAAAACGTCCAGCTTCTTTTGCTACCGTTCATGCTGCGCGACTGCCGACTGACTTCGACTACCAGATGGGAGCACTCGACGACTCACAGAATAAGCGGCATACTACAGGGTTCATCAAGAAGAGTTCTTTCTCACTGGGCTTGCTCGTTCCCACGACTGTTACCTCGTTGCGAGACTTTAGACAATAATTAGCTCAAGCTATTACTTGGCTAATGCTTGGACCTAGCCAAGAAAATTAACCCGACCCAAGGTGCAAAACTTGGAATCGCAGCGCAGATAGCATGAGTGAGCCATTGAATCCAATGATGTCCGGCTGTAACACATGAGCCGAAGGCTTTGGTGGGAATGGATCACCCATCACTATTTCGAAAACGAGCATATGATATTCACATGAATTCTAGACCAAAGTTGGTTGCCATCCCGAGTACGCGCCCGGACCAGATAGCGTAGACAAGTGCAAAGTCTTCAATCATTCAAGTCCGCAGAAGGTGGCTTTGCAAAGAATGTCTGCAAAATCATGTGCAATCCTATGCAGCGCCTCGTAGTATGCCTGCAAAATCACGTGAGCTATCGAGAAGTACACCTACACCCTTGTACCACTTATTCATTGCAATAAAAAAGCACTTTTGGCTAACAAATTCGGGAGACACTCAACAAACGCAATCATGTTGGAAAGTTATGATTGATGAGAGCACATTTCGGTTCATCTATCACCGATGGATGGTTGAACAACTTCCAATTGTGACTAACGAACTGGAGAAGGAAGAGCACAACTGAAGTTTCGCGGGTTCATCATCCCGACTAGTACTGAGCATGGTAACGCGCTACTCAGAAGCCTCCTCTTTCCGTTGCACCTGAAGAACTCCCGTCAAAGAGATTCCAGAAGAAATACGACCACCAATCGATGGTAAGTCTGTAAAGAAGAGTTTTCTTTGAACACTACCAACTTGACGTTTAAGAGAAC